GACTTAATAGGTGCTCAGTGAAGTGGAGCTTCCTTGCATTTATCCAAAATACCCTTCACTTCAATTTTCAAAGTGCGTTACCTTGTCCTGGCATTTGGTTTCCATCACTCCAAATGATTTTATAGATTTCAAGCCTGCCTTTACTATCATTATTGTAATCTTCATTCTGGTTGACTGCCAGAGACAACAGTTCAGTTAGTTATTTTAAAGTTTAATTTTCTTCTCTAGCTTTGAATCTTCTGGCTGCAGAGTTATTGGGAGCATAAAACTGTGGGGCACATTAAGCTCCTAAGTCTCTGCAGTCAAGTAAATCTGTGTAGTGTGGAATTATAAGGGCTGTTTTTTCTCAAAGAAAGTCCTGGATGAGTTCTTATAAACCCACTTAAGTCCTTGTTTACAGTTGCAAAAAAAAATTAGATCCTGCACCATAAATAAGTGGACTGTGTATTGAAACTACTTAAGATATAATTGTATTCTTTCTTCTTCATGAATCTAAACTTATGTTGGAATAGCAATGAAATATGAGGCACTTAAAGCTGACTGCTAATACCACTTCTTGCATACTATTTTAAATAAATAAATGTTCATTTGCTAAGTGGATATCCTACCTCATCAACAAAGGATGCAACATGGATAGCAAAAGTCGTTAGCAGAATACAAATGCTTGCAAAAGGACTCTGGAATGCCTAAACTAAAAAGTACACTACCAAGGACTTGGAAAGAATTTCAAGCTCCAAGGCCAAAGAATCTACTGCATATTCATCTTCTTTATCAAGAAGTTGATTTGGAGTGCGAAAGGCAAGAATAAGCTTATTGTGCAATAGCAAAAAAAAAAAAAAAAATCTTGGGATACTGCATGGCATGGTGGAAAGATGCTATATTGGGGAGTAGGGAATTCTGAAGGTTCTAATTTTGTCACCAATTAGCTTTGAGATATTTAGCCAGGCATCTGAGTCCTATGACTATCCATGTTCCTGTTGGTAAAAGGAGGGCTTGAGGCAGGTTTTTCCAGTTTTTTTCCCCTGACAAACAAAATCTCAGAGAGGTTTTATTACCTAACCGAGGTGGCAGAGTCCAGAGAAAGAGTTTGAACTCCTACAAATTTATAACTGGAGTTTCTCCCAAGGGCATTGAATTCTTTCAAGTGAAAGATGCATGCAGTGACTGTCATCTTTGAAGAGGATAGAGTAAACGTGCTCTTACTTGAAGCCCGAAGTATGATTGTTAAAACTTCCTACGTCTAATTAGAAAACTAGCTATTGTTCTCAGCTTTCACTACCCCATCTACGAATTATACAATTCTGAAAGTTTTGCGTTAAGCATCTTCCCGAGGTTAACATTATTATAGAGGGTGGGGCGGGGTCAGAGAACAACAGACTGTCTGCACTTAAGATGAGAAATCCACTGGGTATGAAGAGAATCTATGATTTCAGATCATTTCCCTCAATGTTTCTTGACACATATTTTGAATTTTTTTCTTGGTTCCTACTGTCACTGTTAGAATACAAGTGCATTCCTCTCTACACATGTTCTGCAGTGTCATCATGCCTTCAGAGCATGTGCCGAAAGACTGAGTCAAGAGTTCTCATGAGATGTGAGGGGCTGATGTAGTAAGGCTATAAAGAGATGGTGGGCCCGGGAGTTTAGCATTCTTGGCAAGTCCTGACTCTGCAGAGAACACTGCAAGATTTACGCAGAGCCATGCAGTTTCTAGGAATGGACGCCAGGGCCTATACAATTTACCCAGACATATTTGCATATTACTTGGATTCATTCAGCCTACTGTACACCTAGGTAACACATTGCAGTTAGCTATGGCTTTACGGTACTAACCCATTACCCACCTACAATGTATAAAGTCAATAAAAACCTTAGCTTAAAATTTTAAGGGTACATTTCTGCTGTTAGGAAAAAGTTGAAATACACATGTCTGGAGTAGGAAGTTCATGTGTTCCAAAAATTTTTTTTTCAGCTATATGGTCATACATGAAGAGGACAAATATACCTATGTTTAAAAATCCATCATAATGAACCATTTTAAAGTATACACCAATTTACAAGAACTTCAGAGCTATATAGATTTGAGAAAAAATCAGTTCAAAGATACACTACTACAACTGAATACAGAAGTCATATAAAACTTCAGTGCTCTGTCTTCTAACATTTTATTAATGATCATTACACTTTATTAATAATTCTATTATTTTTTCTGCTTTTCCCCCTTTTTTTTCCTCCTCAACAAATCAAATGTTTAAATGCAGTAGAAGTTGTAGCCCTTATTTTTGTCTCCCAGGCAAGATGTTATTAGGGGTCACTTCCCATGTACGGAGAAAAGGATCTTCATGGATAATAATGATAAAACCTTATGGAATGCAAAAACAACCAAAATATGTATTCTCAGATGACTGCATTGGGGCCAAGTCAGTATCAGTCCCACTTCACCCACGCACCACACAGTCTAAAAATGCTGTCAGCCTGATAAGAATTTCCTGATTTACTCTTTTTTCCAATAGAAAATATAGGTCAGCAAAATAAACTCCTGACGGTGAAAGAACAATAGTTATACTAGCAAGTCTCTTTTTCATTTGTTAGCCAGTTATAGGCAAATAGTTTCTTTACTTGACTAAAAAAAAAAGAATTAATCTTGAACAAGCCATTTTGGCAAAGCAAGATAAAAATTTGCAAGCACATCTCTCAACTAGGTTATTTAGGTCAACTCAGCCACGCATCTATTCAAACAACATCTACAGAATTCCAAAATACGGTGGAAATTGATCATTATTTACTTATATGTGCCCCTTACCAATGTTGACAAGTCAGGTAACAGAAAGAGCTCATTCTTCAGTTTATTGATAGTCTTAGCAAAAGAATGAAATTTGGGGAGTGAATCTCAGGGCTATTGCAAATGTTAGGTAAAGGACTGGAGTTGTTTCTTATTGAAGGTTAAATGTTGTGGCTTGTAATTTGTAATTTTTCTGTTATTAAATTTTAAAGTCTAGCCCAAAAAAGTATTATAGTTCTAACCCCGATCACAAATTCTTCATATTTTAATGGGGCTATTTTCACAAATAAAACCTTATTCACATCTACTAGTTCAAGTTATTTTTTAAGGGGAAAAATACCTTTCCGGATGTTCAGTAAAGTCTGAGTCTGTTGCACATCCACATTCCAACTGATAATTGAGGGCCTCTACCGTCTCCTCGATGGAAGCAAGGAGAGGAGGAAAGGGTGTAACACCAGGACAGTGTTATTAAACACAGAAATTGATTTCCAGCACCTCTTTGCCTCACTCCCTAACTTGTACTAAATGGTTTTCTTCATTATTTATATCTTTTATATTTAAAGCCAAAGAAAGACAAACAGCATAACCAAAATGTTTTACTGTCATCCTTGGCCACAAATTAAAAAATGTTTTCCCATTCTCCTCCCCAAAAGTAATCTCTGATATGCTGAACCTGCGGAATATTAAATAATGAAAATGATAGCAAGAAAGTGGGGTTCCTTCCTCTGCAGTCTTAGTTGGTCCTTGCTAACCTCATTGTGTGGCAGAAAAATCTGAGGCATGTACCCTTTCCGAATCAGATGAACTTCACAGTCCCTAAATACTAAACAGAAGTTATGATTTCTTTCCAAAGAGTAGCACTACAAATCTAGCAAAGAGACAGAGGAAAAAAAATATGTAGAAATTAAAAGGCCAGATTAACTAAAGAGCCAAACCCTTAAGACTGTCATAAAACATATAGTTCTTGAGAAACAACAAATCAATAAATTCAGTGGACTGTAATTTTCTAACCTTACCTAGTTCCCTCATACGTGTATTTTTTAAGTCTCACCAAATCAACCCACTCTAATCCTAAGGGTCTGAAGACCCTACTTTGGTATAAGCCAGAGCCAGGCACTCGCATGTGTCTTGTGCAGCACTAACTAAGCCTTGACACACTCTACTGGTGTCCAGAGAGGAATACCCAGGGGTACTGAGTGCCCAGTTCCCCAGAGCCTACTCTCCCTTCTGAAGGACTGTATCATCTCCCTGGCTCCCGGACCCCTCTCACCAACAGCGTTCTCAGTCACTCTTGACATGGTAGAGAACCCTGATCCAAGGCACCTCTTGGCCAGAAGGACACACACACACACACACACACACACACACACACACACCACACTTTCAACAGGCTGAACTCTAACACCTCTGTGCTTTGGTGGAATGCAGGGTGAATGCGGGTGGGGTGAGGATGAAGAGGGCACAGGAGTAAAATATTGGTGACAGGAGACTAGACTTTGGGTGATGAGCACACAAGGCAATATACAGATGAGGTATTAAAGAACTGTACAGCTGCAACATTTAATGTTATTAAACCATTGTTGCCCAAATACATTTAATTTTTTAAAAAGTGGATGAGGAACTTGGGGACTAATCCCCATCCTCTAAGTGGTAGTCTTAAGAAGACACACTGCAAAGAAGTTCTAGTAAGGTTTGGGAGATGTTACTCCACACCGTGTTCTACCATAAAAATCCCCATTCCCTGAGCTCACCGTCCAGGTAGGGCTCCCTCCCCTATCGATGTCAGGGACACATTTCATCCCCTCAATCAGGGAACCCTGAAACACTCAACCTCTCCAAAAGAAACAAAATATTTGGTTTAAGGGAAGTTTACTCACATACTCCTGGGACAGATGCCCTCGGTGAGCTTCAGAGAACTGAGCCCTAAGAGCTGGGGAGGCTATGGGGGCGCCTGTGGGTTCCGGTGACACACTCCCCGAAGCCCCGGCCAGGTAATGCCTCCCCCCAGCCCCCGCCGTCCGCCCCCGCCGTCCCTTCCTGAAGCCTCGCCTCCTCTCTTCTGATCGCTTTCTGCTCAGGGCGCTTCCGCAGGTCCCAGAGCATCCTCCGCGCCACGGCCCCCCACGGGACGTCGCCGCAGCCCCAGCCCGACGCTCGCGGCGCCCCTGGCCCCCGCCCCCGCCCCCGCCCACGGGTGGCTGCCCGGCCCGTGACTCACCTGCTGGCCAGGTTGGGGCGACGGGTGGTAGTAGGCTGTGGGGCAGGTTGCAGCTGCCACAGGGTTGGGCAGATACTGGGGCGCTCCATACGGCTGGGGGTGATACATCACCTCCGCACAACTCATGGCAGCCGGGGCAGCGGCGGTCCCCGAGCTGCCGCCGCCGATCTGTGCGCTCGCGCCGCCGCCGCAGCTGCCGCCTCTGTCGCTGCTCCAGCTGCTACTGCGGCGCAGGCGGGTCCTCCGCGGCCGCGGGCTCCGTGCGGGGCGCGGGCTCGGCAGGGCTGGGCGAGGAGCGGGAGCCCGTGCGCGGGCACCTTCATCTTCAGCCCCAGCGGAGGTCCCCTTGCCCGCGCTTATATAGCGGCTCGGGCACGCAGCCGCCCGCCGCGCGGCGGGGGCATGACAGCGCCGGGTCCGGCGAGGGCAGCGGCTCCCACGGCAGCGCCCTCCGCAGCCCTGGCCCGGGCCGCGCCGCTCCGGTTTGCAGACACACAAGGCGCTCCCAGGCCGTCCTATCACCGGCGCTGCCGGCTGGGCGCGGGCCGGGAGGCAGGGGCGGGGGGAGGGGTCGGCTGGGGAGGAGGGAGCGCTCGGCCTCCCGGGGCTGGGACGCGGGGCGCCGCAAAGTTCCTCCAACTCCGTCCAGCGGGCGGGTCAGCCGGCGGGGGGACCCGGGAAGGGCCGGCTGCGATTGGAGCGGAGTTTGCAGCCCTCTCCGCCTCCCGGCCGTGGGACGGTGGTGGGAGGGGAATGGTATGCAGAGCTCCGCGCCCTCGGAGCTCCGCGGTTCCCACCCGTCTCCGTCACCTGGCTGCCGGCGAGGGCTTCCCCACCCCAGGGAGCTTTCACTGGGAACCACAGGGAGAGGCCGAGGCCTGTGGGCAGCGGAGCGCGCAGAGGAAAAGCAGAGCAGGCTCCAAGTAAACTGGATATCCCCGCCATTCACTATAACCATAGTGAAAGGTAACTTTATTACAAGTGCGCGCATGCCAGGAATGAAACAGTGTTCAACAAGAAGTCCCCGCTTTAAGTTTGCACCTTGGTGGTCTGACGGCAGCCTTTTCTGGCTTGGCCAGCCTGGTCTCCATAGAGCAATACAGAGCAACAGTCCATGTTCCCCGTCCAGCTGCTCTTCAGAGGTTTGTCTATGTGCAAGTGACTTGTAACCTTCCCTAAAATGAAAAAGAAAATTTGTTGTAGAAATTGCTATACAACCAGGTAAAGCAGGAAAGAATTGTGTTTATTTTATAAATGAGTAAACTCTACCTCCAACCTTTAACAAACAGGTTTTCCCCTTCATCCCTAGGTATGTTATGATATAGCAACCTCGTTTGTTTTCACAGAGGCTATTCTTTGTCAGAGGGAAAATCCTTCTGGATGGCAAGTGTACTGAGGCTTTTGTGCACTGAACTGTGGCCCACCCCCAAGTCCATACACTGAAGCCCTAACCCCCATGTGACTAGTTAGAAACAGGGCCAGTAAGGAGGAAATTAAGGTTTATGGAGACCAGAGGGTGGGGCCCTGACCTAGGACTGGTGTCCTTAGGAGAAAAAGACACCAGTTATCTTTCTCTGTGCTGACAGGGAGGGGTCTCGTGAGGGCCCAGTGAGAAGGCACAGATTACCAGCCAGGAAGAGAGCCTCACCACCACAAAGTAATCCTGAGAGCATCTTGATCTTGGACTTTTAGTCCCCAAAACTGTCAGAGTGTAAGTTTCTGTTGTTTAAGCCTCCCAGTCTTGGTATTTGTTATGGCAGTCCTGTCAGACTAGTGCAGATATATAGTACCAATATACATTATTAATTTTTATATAAGTGTGTATGTATAACCACACAGACACGTACATACATATACACTTACACATACAAAAACTCATACACTTAAACAAACTATCCAAATTGTATAGGAAATTTTAGCTACTCATACAGCTCTCACTCATTCACCCATTCTTTCATCCATTGAATGTTAAAAATATATTTATTAAGGGCTTAAACAGTTTGGACTTCAAGTGTGTTCTTTGTGGTGGAGCAGTTTTCCTATCAATAAGTTGTATAAGATTTTTTCTTGGCCATTGTGGCTCAGTAGGTTGAGTGTCATCCCATACACCAAAAGGTCACCAGTTTGATTCCCTGTCAGGGCATTTGCCCAAGTTGCACGTTTAATGGGAGGCAACTGATTCGTGCTTTTCTCTCACATCGATATTTCTCTCTCCTTTTTCCTTCCTCTCTCTCTAAAATCAATAAAAGCATATAAAAAGTATATAAGAATTTTTTTAAAGTGTTTATTACTGCCTTTTCCCAAATTGACATTCCCTGTTTACACCCTTTCCCTGTAGCCTGCTCTGGAATCATGACTCTAAGGAAGTGGGCTGGCTCATCTGCACAGGAATTCCCAGGTCTTAAGTGTAGATGCATTGTTGTTCTTGGCAGAAAAATGCCACTCCCAAAAAAGATGTCCCACTCTAATCTCTGGAACCTATGAATATGTTTATTTTACAAAAGGAAGTTAAGATTGTAGATGGAATTAAAGCTACTAATAAGTGGATTTTAAGGTAAAATCATCTTTTACTAGTGTCCCAGTGCATGGATTCGTGCACATTGAAAAGAAATTAATTAGAATAAATATTTTAATATCACTATTCCTGTCTTGCTAATGAAAAGAAAATAAGATTCTACCGAGTCTCCTATCTACCTACTTTAGGACTTCTGTGAGGATCAAATGAGATGAGGCACGAGAAAATGCTTCACAAACATTTGATTAAAGTGTAAAATGTTTGCACCTGGTTATAAAGCAAGTCAGGTTCCTAGGCTGAAGAAACTCCAAGGAGGCTAGTCATCACTAGGGAGAGGAAGCCGGGAGTTGCTATGTGACATGTGACGTCATTACCAAGCGCCCACACCCACCATTTCCAGGCTGGGCTGGGCCACATTTTGTGCTGTGGGGTCTTGGCAGCATTGGCTGCAATTTGGTGGAGTGTCGCTCTGTAATTTGGTGGGGCCTGTGACCTATTTGGGGGAAGCTGAGTGTTGGTTTGTTCTTGGTGCCATTTCTTTTTATTTTTTTTTCTTTATTGATTAAGGTATTACATATGTGGTGCCATTTCTTCTGAAATGGCCAGTGTGCATCATGGCAGCTCCTGAGTTGAGCATCTGCCTCCTGGTGGTCTGTGCATGTCATAGCTATGGGTCAGACACTTAGCCGTTTATATATATATACTAGAGGCCCGGTGCACAAAAATTTGTGCACTCAAGGGGGAGAGGGGGTCCCTCAGCCCGGCCTGTGCCCTCTCGCAGTCTGGGACCCCTCGGGAGATAACGACCTGCTGGCTTAGGCCTGCTCCCGGGTGGCAGAGGGCAGGACCAATCCCTAGGTGCAGCCCCTAGTTGGGCTCAGAGCATGGCCAATTGGGGAGTTGGGGCGCCACCCCTGTCATGCACAGAGCAGGGCAGATTGGGAGGTTGCAATACCACCATCAGTCATGCTCAGTGTAGGGCCGATTGGGGGGTTGGGGCACCGCCCCCTGTCACACTCAAGGCAGGGTCGTTGGGGAGGTTGCAGCGCCACCCCCTGTCACGCACAGAGCAGGGCCAATCTGGGGGTTAGGGAGCTCCCCCCTGTCACAGAGTAGGGCCGATAGGGGAGTTGGGGCACCTCCCCCTGTCACCCACAGAGCAGGGCGGATCAGGGGGTTGGGGCGCCGCCACTGTCACACAGAGCCGCAGGGCAATCAGGGGGTTGGGAAGCTCCCCCCTATCAGGCACAGAGCAGGGCTGATCCGGGGGTTGGGGCACCTTCCCCTGTCATGAACAGAGCAGGATGGATAGGATGTGGCCCTGCCCCCTGTCACACACAAAGCCACAGGGCGATCAGGGGTTTTGGGCGCTGCCCCCTATCACACTGATCCTGTTGCCTCGAGGCCTCTGGGCTCTGCTGACCCCAGTGCTGGGAGGCATATTACCCTTTTACTATATAGGATAGAGGCCTGGTGCATGGGTGGGGGCTGGCTGGTTTGCCCTGAAGGGTGTCCTGGATCAGGGTGGGGGTCCCCACTGGGGTGCCTGGCCAGCCTGGGTGAAGGGATGATGGCTGTTTGCAGCTGGTCACACACCCTTCACGGAGGGGGTGCCCATTGGGGTGCCTGGCCAGTTTGGATGAGTGGGTGATGGCTGTTTTCAAGCTGGTGGGTGACTGAAGCTCCCAACTGCTCCTTTTTTCTTTTTTTTTATTCTGGGCCAGCTTTAGCTCTGACTCCAGCTCTGAGGCCTCGGCTGCTGAAAGCAGGTATCTGGTTTGTTTGGGTTCTATAATCGAAACACTGTATCAACTACAGCTCTGAGATCCCGGCTGGCTGAAAGCAGGTTTCTGGGGTTTTGTTTAGCTTCTATATTTGTAACAATGTTTCAAACTGCAAGCTCAGAGGCCGGCAAGGCAGGCAGGGAACGTTGGTTTCCTCTGTCACTGAAGCAAGCAAGCCTCATGTTAGCAAGCTGCCTGGCTGCCGGCTGCCATCTTGGCTGGCAGTTAATTTGCATATCGCCCTGATTAGCCAATGGGAATGGTAGTGAACGTATGGCTAATTACCATGTTTTTCTTTTATTAGATAGGACTAGAGGCCCAGTGCACAAAAATTTGTGCACTCGGGGGGAGGTGGGTCCCTCAGCCTGGCCTGTGCCCTCTCGCAGTCTGGGACCCCTTGGGAGATAACGACCTGCTGGCTTAGGCCTGCTCCCGGGTGGCAGAGGGCAGGCCCAATCCCTAGGTGCAGCCCCCGGTCGGGCTCAGAGCAGGGCGGATTGGGAGGTTGCGATGCCACCCCCAGTCACGCTCAGGGTGGGGCTGATCATGGGTTGCACTGCCCCCTGTCATGCACAGAGCAGGACCGATCAGGAGGTTGGGGAGCTCCCCGCTGTCATGCACAGAGCAGGGCCAATAGGGGAGCTGGGGCACCGCCCTCTGTTACACACAGTGCAGGGCGGATAGAGAGGTTGTGGCCCCACCCCCTGTCACACACAGAGCTGCAGGGTGATCAGGGGGATGGGTGCTGCACCCTGTCATGCTGCTCCAGGGGCCAGGAGGCCTCGCAGCTCCAATGATCCCAGTGCTCGGAGGCCTCGTAGCTCCGCTTGACACCGGGGCAGTGAGGCCTCGCTGTTCTGCTGATACTGGTGCTGGGAGGCCTTGCGGCTCTGCTTGACACAGGGGCAGTGACGTCTCGCTGCTCTGCTGATCCCATTGCCAGGAGGCCTTGCTGCTCCACTGATCCCGGTGCCAGGAGGCCTCGCGGTCTGCTGGTCCAAAGTGCTGGGAGGCATATTACCCTTTTACTATATAGGATAGAGGCCTGGTGCATGGGTGGGGACTGGCTGGTTTTCCCTGAAGGGTGTCGTGGATCAGGGTGGGGGTCCCGCTTGGGTGCCTGGACAGCCTGGATGAGGGGATGATGGCTGTTTGCAGCTGGTCACACACCCTTCAGGGTGGGGGTCCCCACTGGGGTGCCTGGCCAGTCTGGGTGAGGGGCTGAGGGCCGTTTTCAGGCTGGCGGGTGACTGAAGTTCCCAACCTCTCCTTTTTTTCTTTACTTTTTTTATTCTGGGATTTATTTACCTTCTATGGCTGTCAGTGGAGCTGAGAGCTGGCTTTAGCTCTGAGGCTCAGCTCCAGCTCTGAGACCTCAGCTGCTGAAAGCAGGTATCTGGTTTGTTTGGCTTCTATAATTGAAACACT